CTTCTTTTATTAAACTTTACTATTGGCGGAAGCATTCTATACTAGGTCACTATTATTAGAGGTGTAAATCCCTACAATGAAGATGAGCAAGCTGAAAAGAGTAGCTTGTGGCCTCTAAGCAACACACACCATGCCTCTTTTAAATCATAGGAAGGTCCCTTACCCTCTCTCCAAGTCAACTTTCCCATTTATCCCCTTTTCTAGCTAGCTAGCTAGCTAGCTAGTTGGCAACTGAGATGTTATACAGCTTTCGGCTGTCTTCTTCATGTATGTATTCTTTTTTTGATTACTGTAAACCACCAGTAACATAGTTATTAAAACCCTTGAGACAACCCACAGGATTACTTGATTAAGACCCAACGCTTTCCTTAACCACTCCAAGTAGCCTTTTCCTCTATGTTTCAGAGAGGCCACCACTTTAGCAGTTGTGCCTTACTTTATTCATAAATCCCCCACCCCCACCCCCAAACACCACCTTTTCCTTGTGCTTTCTACTTCATGTGGAACCTTACTCACATGCACCCACCTCCTTTACATCCCACCATTATTCTTACCAATCTTTTTCTTCTTTCTGTCTCCTTTCATTCGACCATTTTTGGCAATGTTAAGTTCTGGGGCTTCTTCAAGTTTGGTCAGACTTGATCACAAATGAAAAGGAAACAGGAGACCAGAAGAGTTCCGGGAATCGACCTTCCGTTGATGAGAAGGATTTAAAAGAATATAAGAATGACAAGGCTAGTTGTTACATATACCTACCCCCCAACCCTTCTATATTTTGTCCTTGTTCAAGAACACTTTTTGAGCTGGGTTGGACTGGACTGAAAGGGGGAAATAATAGGACTGGGTTAGTTCAGCAGAACTGATCAGCTGGTCGGCAGAGCTAATTAAACTGTTTTGCTTTAGTTTTGTCCATCAAATCCTATGAGCAACTCTCTTTACTAACCTCCAAGCAATTCAAGTGATAATAAAGACAAATTATAAATTCAAATATCCTGAGTTCAAATATCATTAATATCCTAATATCGGTGTGCCTTTGACTGGATCGGAGAAGGGATTAATTGAAGTGCATGCAAGTTAGTTCAGATATCCTTAACCGTTTGAACTAAAAAAAAATTCTCTTTACTTTAGGTGAATTATTAGTGCCATAATGAAACTATCTTAGACTGCCTTTTAAGACCAATATGTGCAGTTTTCTTAGTCAGTGCACTCATTTTAAGTACATTAAACATAGACTTGTGGTTTTTTTATAGAGGAGAGATATAATTATACTCCTACAAAGTAATCATACCACTGTGGCCCCCTTGTCTTCTCAAAGCACATAAGCAATCTGATCATGGTTCTTTTATTTTGTCTTCCATCATGTATTGTCTGGGATGAAAATTGCAAGGCCTACAGAGAGCTCTCTCTTCTCTACTCTATATCCTTTTAGCTCTAAGCATAAAAGCACCGTGCACACATCATGTGCAACACTGCAAAGTATTCATTATATTGGGGGCATGCGTCGAGGATTTTTGGGTAAGTGAAAAACATTTGTATATATGCGTATTATGCGTCACATGGCAGAGTCGAAACTGTTACAACAATAGCCTATCGAACATACAAGTTGGTTTTTTTAAATTTCTTTGACAAATTAATGTGTTGTAGTAAATCATTAAGAATGTACAATAATTCATCGGGTTTGTGCACCACATGGCTCTGTTTTTGAACTCTTGGCCTCAATTCTCATCAATGGTAGATCATCGTCGTATATAGATTACAACATATCGTGGGTCATGCTTAAATTCATGCTCAAGGATCTTACACTCAGATTCTCACATTTGAGATTTCTGCTGTTTAAGAATCTCCCATTCTAGAAAGAGACAATGGTCCATGATTACAATCAGTTATTAGGCTTCTGGGCTTGGTTTTTATTTCAGGAATGGGTAAAGACAGCATGCCCCAGGACAATATAAGGCCATACTAATGTCAAGTTAGTAGATGGAACCCCAAGTATCCGGGGTGTAAGCCTTGGGATTTACCTGGCATGTGTAGTTAGTGGGATATTGCATGAGCCCAGAGGTTTTTACTAGTGGCCACCAAGGTCGTTGTATCTGACAATAACTATTGGAGTTTCCTCCGAATTACCCAAAAAACAATAAAAATTAGTAGATGGATCAACGATCTGCGATTTTCACCATCTAAATTAATGAAACAATTTTCCTAAACTGATTAAACTTGGGACTAAATCGGTAGCCCAAATGATACGACAACTTAAACGTCTTGAATTCGAATATTGACAACCTTTTAGAATCAAACCACGAAAAATTTATCCCTCATGAATACCAATCAAGTTTGTCGTGTCCGCTTATTTGTTTGAGTTGAGGAGTTTTTACATCATTTGGTCCGTAATTTTAATCCAAATTTAGATCACACAAGCATTGTTGTAAATGAGATTGTGTCTGTACGTGGCGTAGGTGTTGAAACGAACAGTTTTGTAGCATTCTCTTAATTGTTTATACCTTTAGTTGCAGTGGTACTCATGTGCAGACAAGAATTATATGCATGGTTCCAACAGCTAAAAAAATAAAACATGACAAGCAGGTGTCATTTTCTACAATTCACTGGAAGACAAGATGAACGTGATCAATGAGCTGGCTAGTTGAAATTATGGCTTATTCGAACGATGAACTAAGTATCAACAATCATGTCATATTGACTTCTTATCATCTTCAATTATTATTATGTTAAAAATTAAATTAATTTGTATACGACTTATTCATAATCTTGCATTATCCTCGTATAGAAAACGTGTATAATGGGTTTATATTTTATATATTCGAACTCAAGACTTTAACGGGTTTATATATTTGAACTCAAAACATATATAAGTTTTTTTCTTAACGAATTGATGAGTTCGCGTCTATCTTTTTATTAAATGAGTTTAACGGGTTAACTTGTACAAAAGTCTAACCCATTAAGAAAAAAACTTAGTAGAATGATGATTTCGATCGATAGTCAAATACTTTATCATATACAAATGATGAGTAATTTGTAATATAAAATAAGACATGTTTCAATAAATTTATTCAATGATCTCAAATAAACTCATTCAACGGATACCAATAATTATTTTCAAAACTATTCACATTGTACCATACATTCAGGCACGGATTACCCTGATAGATTATACAGTATATGAATGGAAAGGGTTAATAGTACTTTTGACCCCTAAATTATATATATTTTTTTTAATATAGTCTGAATTGTATTAATTTTGTCAGTTTAATCCTTAAAATATTCAATTCATGTCACTTTAGTCCCTAATGAGATAATTTGTCAATATTTTTGACAAAAGTGATCATGTTCTTTTTGTTAGACGATATCACATGCCCAGCACATGATTATTCCGTAAAAAACTTAATGGTCTTTTTATGTAAAGACTAAAATAACACAAATTGAATATTTTAATGACCAAATTAATAAAATTGATACAATGAGAATTAAACTGATTAGAAAATATATACCTGAGGTATCAAAAATGTTATTAACCCGAATAAAAAAATTAGGTGTGGAACTAAATGTAAGCCAATTATCCTAGTCTCCAACCCATTCACATAAGAGTTAGGTGTGCAAATCCATGGTTTGTGGGCATATTAAAGCTTAATTCGTACGCCAAAAGTGCAATTCGTTTGACTTCATTGGATTCTCCTCCAGTACTAGCTAGGAAAAAATAAGCATTTTTCTCATCTTATTCTTAGCCTCTTCTTCGTTTAGTTGCTGTTGCACACGATATTCTTGTGCGTGATCACAAAAGAGTGAGAAATAGAAAGATATAGATTGTTAAAGGGTAATATAGATATTTCACGACGGGTACACCGAGCTCGCGCCTTTTTAACCAATGTCATTGCCAATTTAAGACAAACTTACACGAATTCATTAAAATGTTTTCTTAACTGTTGGTAGTTTGTGATAAATTTGAACTTGATAGAGGAATTTGTTTTTTAAGAAAATTGAGGAAAAATAGCCATATTAAAAAAAACTTGCGTGGTCAAAATCTACAAAACACAAAAGTTGGGGACAAGAGTGGAAAAACAACTTTTAAATTTAGAAAAAGGATAAATTACACTTTGTGGCCTTTGAACTATGTCTATTACCTCTCATTCCCTCATAACTCTTATATTTTTGACGTTGCACCTTAGCTACGCTTATTGCACTCATATTGCTTTTTAATTTCACATTTTATCTTTACCCATTGTTATTAATTACGAATTATCCCAAATAGAGATATTGATAAAGCCTATTTTAATGTATTTTTATACATTTTTTTGTTCAAAATGCGTGATTTTTATGCATTGTGAAACCAAACCCAGTTAGGGATAGGCTTCGACTTCGATGGATTGAGGGTACTTATACGACCTCTAACTTCGAACTATTATAACTGCGCCTCCAAGTCCGTCTTATCCAAGGTGAAGCGGAATTTTGGAATTTGACCAATTTTTGTTTGGCTTTCTTATGCTTTAATTTTTTTTTGACCTTTTGCTGGGATTTGGACAAATTTTTATATTGATCAACAAGTAGTATTTTATAAATAATATATAAATGTTCATATAATAATATATTATATATTTATATAAAATTATTTATTAATAAAAGTCAAAATCATAGTTTTTTCAAAAAGAATTTTAGCCTCGGACTCCGATCTGGCCCTCTGATTCCATTAAATTTTGACTCCAACGAACCTGAATCAGAGTCGGAGTCAGATTTTCAGATTTTTGCACACCCCTAATTCCAAAAAAGAAAATTTCAGGGGCAAAGTGAAATGGATATGATAGTTGATGGGTCAAAATATAATATTCCCTTCAGAAATTAAGAGCAAAATTTTGCCCAGTCAGTTACGGCTCTTAACTTCTCTGAATGAACTCCTCTATTTAACTCAGATAGAGAGACACAATTCATCCTTGTAAAATCAGAACTTAGAAGTCAAAAGTGTGGTGGGTGAGAGAGAGAGAGAGAGGACGGGCATGTCGGGAGGTATAGCGCGTGGTCGTCTAGCTGAGGAGCGCAAAGCCTGGCGTAAGAATCACCCACATGTCTGTCTCTGCACTCAAAAATCTCTGTTTTTTGGTCATATACACATACAGATATTGAACTATGCTATCTTTACCTATCATGATTGTTCCTCACGTTCTCTGTTATTTTCATTTTTAGGGTTTCGTGGCGAAGCCGGAGACAGGTTCAGATGGGTCTGTCAATTTGATGGTGTGGCATTGCACCATCCCTGGTAAGGCTGGGGTAGGTCTTCTTCTTCCTTTTTCATGTTTTTTTATATCTCTTTCGTGTGTATTTGTCCATGGGGGATTTGAATATGGTCTGGACTATTCTAATTCAGTTATGAAGATTGTCTTCTAAATTTCCTATTTTGAGTTTTTTCTTTGTTTTAGTATTATTCGTGAATGCTAGTGTTGTCAAAGAGTTTTTACATGATCCTTTGAATTTTGAATATATTGGATGTTGTTGACCTTGTGGTAGGTAATTGTTTGTCCAGTAGTAGTATTACCATTATTCTTTTTGATTTTTGATGTTTTCTACTACTAAACTAAAAATGTGATGGACAATGGTGGTTTTAAGCTCTGCTCTTAGCTCTCCTTGTATGCTAATGGTTTCATTATTTATTGGCTGCATTCTGTGTCTGTTTTAGATGAATTGCTTGTAGTTTAAGAATTGGTGGTTAAGTAATGTAGTAGAATTCCTGTGTTTTCCATCATGGATTCTGTTTTATGATAATTCTAGGGGCTTGTTCTATATTTTATTAAATTTTGTATTTTCTTTCTTTTACGTTGTCTGATTTAGTATTGCTCCTTATGGAGATGCGTTTTTTCTTTTCTGCTTTCAAGTGTGATTGGATCAGTAACGATGGATCTGCATTTTTTTTTTTTTTTGGGTTTAAATTTCAACTCAAATCGAGTGCTTAATGTAAACTGATCTCAATTCCTGGGGCAAATAACAAGAACACCCTTCCTGATCGAATAAAAATCGGTATGATCTGTGAGATTTCAAAAATAACAAAAAACCTTTTAGAGTTGGGATTTTTTGGGTCATTTTTTAGAGTTGGTAGACTCGTGGTTAAATATGCTTTTTAATTTTACCATCTAAACTTTGTTATTTTCTTAAATTCTAGTCAAATGTCTTAGTTCAATTGGGGGGAGAGAGAGAGAGAGGCTGCTGCAGTTGCCCCGCACCCTATCCCTGAAACTAGCCACCATAGCACCCCAGCAACCAACACCCAAACCATCCCCCTTTCCCTTCCAACCCCTTCTGAAGCACATTTCTATTGGAAGTAGTTTGGAACCCTCCAAACCTTCAGAAATCAGACCTCTCCCTTGTTTTATATATTGCATCTATGGCCTGTCTCTTTGGGCTAGATTTGGCATTGTGGGTTCAGGTGGTTGTGGGTTTAATTGAGGGGTTTTTGGCTGAGATCTTTCTAGTTGAGGTTTTGACATGTTGAATTTGAGGTGGTGAGTTCGATTACGTGTTGGTTATGGTGGATTTAGGTTTAATTGGGGAGTTGTTGGCTAGGAGAGGATAAAGAAAGAGAGTTGGCTTTTTCTCTTTGAGCAAGAGGTCATGGTGAGGGAGTTCTACTAGGGATGACTGTGTTACATGTTAGGGTGGGTGGTGCTGGTGGTGGGGTTGGGAGGGCGTCGGCGGGGGGGGGGGGG